TTTTTACTTATTTAGATCACTGTCAACTCTGAGAGCGATCTTGAGTACGATCGATGAGATGCTTTTTTGTATGAAAACAGTATCTCGAGATCGTAGTAGTGTCAGAGTTGAGAGCGATCTATTAATGCGCGCCTTAGTCTATATCAAGTAAGTTGAGTCGACTGCAATGAACTTGAACTTTGAAATTGTTTCTGACATTTCGGATAATTCCTGGCAAGGTAGACGTGGTTTTGATTTTTTTATCCTTCATGTGCCATAGATTTGTCAGCAAAATACTAAGACCCACTTGTACCAAAGTTCTTAAGTCAAATTAAGGCAATCGTATGTAGCACAACATCTTTGTCGATTATATTAAGTTAAATAGAGATGAAGTTTAACCGTGATTAAGTTTATAATTAAAATTAAAAACTTTGGTGCATGTGTGGGCATGAATGTTAGTTGTAAACACCAACTACCAAAAAATAACTGTATATATGTTTTATTTTATTTACACTTGTGTAAGCCACTTCGCCTTTGCCACCTTTCATATTCTGTAGCCTCTCGAACTGTCATTTTCGAGTCGATAAAAAAAACGTCTAATGCACATTTTTCTCAATGTTACTTGCACGCATCTAATAAAACATCAAAGCACCCAAGTGCAAAGGACGAGAATGCTCTGCTCGAAGCTTTCTCCCTCTTGTGGAGCAAGAATGGCCTGCGAGTATTAAAGCCACCACAAAGGAAAGGATTTTATGCTAATGCCCGAAAGTAGACGTTTAAAAAGCATTATAAAAAACGAGTCGTATATTCCACTGTTGAAGCTAGGCGAAGCTTTAATGTTCGAATGTGTTAAAATATTAAAACTCGAGGATATTTAAATCAAAAATTTTTTTTGAGTGTGTATGCTATGATTGCAGATGACCTTTACAGCGTCACCGGGTTTGGGGACGGCGAGATCCTTGGGGACCTCAAGCCGAGAATTAGCGAGTGCCTTTAGAGGTATTCCAGGCGGATGGCATCTCCCTACGTGGGTCCTCTCCGTCTGGAGCCTCTAGACCACTCAAACCTGTGGGGGTCGGCTCAACTAGAGGGCGTCTCTGAGACTCGAACCTCGGCTCTAGTCAGCCGTAGTCGTGGGAAGCGGGGAAAACGCCCAGGTACGTACCTGTACCTGGTATAGCATGTCGTGTGTAGATCGGGTCTTCGCACTCTTACCCTACGGGTGCGGTGTCTACCTAATGCTAAAGTAGTGTGCAAGTTTGTTAGCTGTGTAGTGATGGTGTTTGTGACCTGTGTGGGAGGATTCCGGAGGCGTTAAATTTAAAAAAAAAAATACTAGAAAAAAAAATCCACGCGGACCAGACAGCAGATGGTCCCGTAAAATGCAGTTAGCAGTTAAATTAATGAAATAATATATAAACATAATTATCACTTGTATTACTATTGTTAAGTGTTACTATTGTTTGTTAGAAATTAAGAAAATTTGCAATGCCCTTGCAGGGCTCATGTTGTGAATCTTTATTTGAAATTTAAGAACCCATGTATGTACCAACATGAAGCAATAAAGATTATTATTATTATTATTAAATGCTTAAAAACAAATAAAAATCTGGACGATATTCATTTACGATAAAGACAACTGAGTTTTTTTATTTCTTTAATTACTGAAATATCGTTTAATCCTCTTGAAAAGAATCCTTTATTAATAAACGAGGATTAAGCTTAGACTAGTTACGACGTGTTTTGTTCATATCACTAAAATTCCATTTGTTATTCAATGAACAGAGACAAAACATGGAGTAACCCAAGCATATTCTTCGTTTATTAAAAGTTTCTTGCCGGTTCTTCTCAGTACAAGGTCTCCCGCCGTAGTTTTGCGAACCGATGGCGTAGCTTCCTGACCTTCACAAGTGCTTGTAACAGCCTAGACTGAATAAATGACTTTTCATTTCATTGCAATAAGAGGGTAATAGGGTAAGGTAAACGAAATTGTATGTAGTCCGTCAGTTAGATTATAAAAAAATAAAGGACACTTATACATATAATAAGGACAAGCAAAACTACAAACATTAACCGCATCAAAGTTTATGAGTGGGAGCTCGTGACGTCACTTCTAAGTAAACATTGTTCCAAGACGTGAAGTCATGCGACATTTCATTGCTGTAATGTTTTGGCTATGTGAATAAAGAAGAAATACGTGTCCAATCCTTTTGATAATCTGCCTCATAGACAAAATAAAATCATCATATCCACACTTTCATAGTTTACTATCGCTCGCATATCGCAACCGCATGACAGTGTATCACGAGCTTAAGTCATATCCGGCTCGGGTGTAGGAAGACAGGGTGAAAAGAGACTAATTCATAAATCCAGAGGCTAGTTTTTCAGTCTTTGTGTTCACCGAGGCGGCTACAATGGACCATTTTACAGGATTTAATAAAGTTATTCGTATTTGCATTTGAATGTTGCTCGTAACTTTCACTTCAGTCTGTCACCATATTATTACTAGCGGTAGCCCGCGACTTCGTACGCGTGGAGTTAGTTAGAAATAAAGGTTCACTGCTCGTTCCCCGTAAGTGATAGCGTGATAATATGTAGCCTATATGTTGACCCGACTTCTTAATAATATTCGTGCCAAATTTGAAGTAAATTCATTCAGTACTTTTTGAGTTTATCCCGGACATACATACAGACAAACAGACGAAAATTCTAAAAGCTATATTTTATGGCTTCGGTATCGATTGTAGATCACACCCCTAGTATTATTTAAAATATAATATTCAATGTACAGTTTTGCCTTTCCTACCATTTTATTATATGTATAGATAAGAAGAAGTGAAGCTTTTGTTTCATGGCCACAAATTTTATCGTTCATAATCTGTAGCACGTTGCATTACGTTTTTAATTGGTTCATTAGCTCGCCTGCTACGCGGGCGGCCTGGGTCTGATTCCTAGCCGAGGAAGGATTTTTTGTCTTCTTTTTTTCCGACGGTGTGTGAATGGAATAATCCTATGGGAAAAGATGAAACGGAAATGCGTCACGAGCGGCTCACAACTGTGTGCGCAGCTCTTCCCGACGAGCATGAAAGTTGGAGGGTAACTCGGCGAAGGCTGCAGCGCTACAAGCGTCACACGCTACAATATAAACATATAAGTGATGCGTGCTCTGCTCCGTTCCCCATGCCTTATGCACCGCCTTATGTTAGGTTTTTTATGACAAGAAATTTCACTTCAGACGTTTCCTTCACACACACAATTTTTTTAGTACTAAATGAGTTTAAAAGTTCCACTTGCATCGTGATTTTTATTATTAATAAAACCACACAACTTTTTTTCTAGTTTAACCTATACCGGCATATAAAATCTCTACAGTTCTAACATTTATGAACTCAATACAAGACTGTTCCTCTTCAAATTTAATTCAATGAGTGACCTCTTTAAAAGTTACTGCCACCACGTATCGTAATATCTACGCAATGTCGAAATCTTGTATAAAATATCTTATATCAGAAACTTGTCAAAGAACATGAGCCCGAATGACCGCAGTAACTAAAGACAACACTAACCAATAAACAGCACGGTAAAACCTCACAGTTTTATGCGCAAGTGAATTTATACCTTTTCGCCTTTACGACTAGGATAGTTTTGCAACCGCCGATGTAACGACAACGTTGACATTAACAGACCACATAAAACGGAAACATTTGCCACACGTCTGCTGAACATTATTGAATGTAACAACATTACTAACTGTAAGTAAAGTAAGTTATTTCTTTAAGACTAATTATCCAAAAATACTAGTTCAGTTTAGAAACCAATTGATGCGAGATGGGAGTTTGCAACTAAAACCGAAACCGAGGGAGGTTAGATTAAAACAAAAAGAGAAGATACGGTACGCTCATACTATCATCAAATTTGGAGAAATGCTGCTCGAAGATAGTGACAGATATTTGGAGATATATATTAGTTTATGAGGGATAGTGCATAGCGCAGAGATTTGTTTTGCATATTAAAATATCTGGTGTATAAATAACTAATTATTTATTGATACAATAACATGATATGGTAACGCCCATAGCCCATATATATCATATGAAGGAACATTGGGCTCAATTCCGGCATGCTTATTAACCTAAGTTTAAATTTCTCAAGAGTGGATCCTCGTTAAAAAATTATTCTGTTATCAAGTTTAGAGAATCATCCCAGAATCAAGTAAACTGTTGTCGTCCATGGCGGATTGTGAACCTACCTGAAACGTGGAATACAAATCAATCCATAGTTCATAAAAAATCTAAGATTGGTTTAAATCTAATATTATGGATTGATTATTTGGGATCAATTGTCAGATAAGATCTTATTTAGTTAAAGGTTTTTACGACGAAGTTCGTATTCATAAAATAAAAGAAAACTAAGCATTTAGTTTAAATTAGGGATGGCGATCTGAGATCGATTAATCGAATAATCGATGTTTTAAGCCAAAAAGATCGATTTTATTAATCGATATGTAGTACAGAATCGATTCACTGAATCGATATTTCGCCCTTGAAAATCGACCTTCGTTTTTATTTTATTTATTTGGTATAAACCAAAAAAGTATTTAGAATTATTTGAATGTACCCGTTATAAGGGTGCTGCCGGTAAAAGGGTTAATTATAAAAAAAATCGCGAGATGGCTATATATTTGGATTCCTTCTCCCCTTTTTAATAAAAAAAAGTTACGTTTGTTTGTAATCTTTGAATAAAAATATTTTTTATCATCGAATCACCTGATTTTACTGATAAGAGATCGTTAAATTGTAATATGTATCTTGTTTTTAATAAAATAGACTTGATTACATTATAAACAAAAACTTAAAAAAAAGATCGATTTTTCAGAAATCGATCTTATAGGCCCCGATTTTTTTGTGGATCGATTCATTAGGTCACGATTCGAATCGATTTAAAAATCGATCTTTTTCGGAAAGAATCGCCATCCCTAGTTTAAATGGGAATTACTGATTTTATATTATTGTATTTCACTCCGATATTTGAAAAAATGGTGTTCAAATACACATATACCTATATTTATATTATTCATCATCACGATTATTTTGACGCGGTGCAGAAAACTCGGTGATAGTGTCGCCGCGTGCCGACCGCGACCGGCCGGTTCGGGGTGAAGGTCGCCTGTTATTACTGACCATTATTACGTCAGCAACTCGTTTGACGCTTGACGCGCGCCTCGTCTCAGTCACACACACGTCGCGGGCGCGATAACACGCAATGGATTTAACCGGGCGTGTTGCTATCGTGACCGGAGCTAGTTCAGGAATAGGAGCCGCCACTGCTAAACTCTTCGCTGCCCATGGTGCTCTACTAACGATAGTAGGAAGGAATGAAGCGAGGCTGCTAGCCGTCGCCGAAGCGTGTGAACGCGCCAAGGGCCACAAACCAGTTTGCGCGATGCTCGATTTGACTTTAGAAAACAGCTGCGAGGAGGTTGTGAGAAAAACTGTCGAAACGTACAGCAAATTGGATATGCTCGTCAACTGCGCCGGTAAAGCGATGTTGACTTCTCTGTTTGACATGTCGATGACAGTTTTCGATGAATTGGTAGCGTTGAATATGCGCGTTCCGTACAAACTAACGCAACACTGTGTACCACACTTGAAGAGAACAAAAGGGCACATAGTTAACGTTGTCCCTGCACCGATGAGGTCGAGGCCAGGGTTTCTGCCGTACGCAATGATAAGAGACGCAATGGACAGGTTCACCAAAGCTGCGGTCTTAGAATTGGCCCCTGAGGGAGTCCGAATCAACGCTGTGCGCCCGGGCATAACGAGAACCAATCTATTATCAAACTTGAATGTTGACGATGACATGATGGATGATGCATACGATACTTTATCAAAGGTCCTGCCAAATTCTGTGATTTTAGAACCTGAAGAGATAGCAAAGACCATTTTGTTCACAGTTAGTGATATGTGTCCCAATTTAAACGGGTCTAATATAGTAATAGATGGCGCTGCTTCCGTTTATTGATGTTTATAAAATCGTTGTGTGAGTGTGCCTTTTCAGTGGACAATTTTTGACTGAGTGGACAACGTTATCAGATGGACAATCTTAATATGAGGTTTGAAAAACAGAGTCATAATGGAATAAATGAACCATGAGAGCATTTAATAACTCCAACTATTATTCTTATGAAGGCTGCCCATGCGCAGCTTCAAACCCGTAGCAGGAAAACAGTAATCAATTGTATGAATCACATCAGTAATATAAAGTTAATGAATGGTATCAACAGAACAACAATGGTTTTTAGTAAAGTAAAAACATTTAAGTGTTTCAACGATGACAACTAAATGTGTTTTTACATTTGAAACCAAACACAGTCATGACGTTAAACTACCTATTACTGTTAGATAAAAAATTTGCATAGTATTTACTATTGTCTACATAGTAAATAATATGCAAATAATATGCAATACATACAGTCGAGTAAGAAACATGCTAATATTAACGTCATCGTGTTTAAGAACCTGTGTCAATAACTATTTTACGTGGAGTACAAATAGGAATTATTATGTGATATAAAGACTGGATGGTTGTGGTGAAATCGACAGGGGACATTGCAACATACTATTTAATAGAATATGTTATTTTACGTAGAATTTAAGAATAATTGGATAGTTAATTGGATATAAAATGTATGTTTTTTTTTAATTATTAAGTGGTAAATAGATTCATTAATTTAATTACAAAACACTGAAGTGGTAATGAGTTCAATTTAAATTATTGCTTACAATGTGATATTACAAGGTAATTACTATATTATGTAAAAATCTGTGATTCTTAATGTTTGCTTCATATCAATTTGTTTTTCTTGTGTAATATATGTATAATACTAAATACCTTGTGTAAATGCTTACAGGGCATTTTATATAAAGTGTTTATAATGTATTAATATTAGCCTTAAATTTGACCTTCTTTTATGTTTATAATTGTAAATAAATTTGTAAATATAACTTTTCTTGCTAGTATATCCAAAATGAATTAAAGTAACAACCTTATTTTACCAGGGAACCACATCGCTGGCCTAGTGCAGTTTGTTGAGTGCTAACAACTGAATGAACCAATGTAACGTGTCTTCTGAAGCATAGATGCACGTTCTCACGCATCCTATAACTAGGCTAAGTTTTCTTTATATTTATGCAGGCAGGCAGGCTGACGGAAGATCACAATAAAATAACACTGCCTTTTGGTGGTGTTCTGATTCTGTCGGTAAGGTACCAGGACTCCACGGGGTTAGGGTTTGGTTCAGGGTTGGCATCGGTGCGAGTGGTCTTTTTGGTCTAGCAAGCGTCTAAAGGCTATGGTTGCCGTTTACCATCAGGCGGGCCATATGCTTGTTTGGCATTTTTTTACCATAAAAAAGCTAGATTAAATCAACGTTAAAATTTAAGTTTGTTATGTCTCTGTCAGTGTGATACATTATTAATTAATAATGAAGCGATCGTTTTAAATCACGTCACCAGAACAATGCTGAAAATCATTTTAGAATAATATATACAATAATGCCGTTTAATTATGATAAAGAATACTAATATTTGTCTATAATTGACTTTGTAATTGAAGTCAATTTAATAATAGTTACGGAATATTTTTACGCTTTTTTTCAAACAAATTACAAACTCTCTATACAAAGTACTGTAAAAAAACAAAACTGAAAGAAATATTTGCATTAATGTTATTAAACCGGGATGTGTGCAAGTTTAGCAGTCATAGCGTAGCAGTACAATGTACAATTCGGCATCGGGTACGTTATTAATGAACGCCAGACGAAACGTAACGCCGGAGCCCGCTGATGAAAACAGTCCATTGTTCAAGAGACGACCCAGGGTTGACACTATTGAAGCAATAGTTCAAATAAATCAGCCGCAATAAAAGTCTGAATATAAAAGTCAGTTAAAAAAACATGTTAATTTATTTATTTATTATCTTAGGGCAGCTAACAGCTTATGAACTTATGAACAGCAAAAAATATTACTAAAAGCTATTGACAAGCTACCACATACAGCTAACTCTTGATCCTACTTGCCAACAGTTTATCATAATCATCAGCCTATTAATGTCCTTGCTGTTGGGGCACAAGCTTTCCATATGGATGGAATAGGAAGATACGACCTGAAGGCTTGACCCACCACGTGGGCCCAGTGCCGTTTGAACCAAGACCACCGACTTAACGTGCCCTCCAGAAGCACGGAGGAGCTCGAGATAGTAATTTTTTGGTCACCCTTTCAATGAGAGACTACTGCGAAGTTGCTTAACTTCAACGATCGCAGCCGAACGTGCTTACCACTTAAGCGTTCGAGCTCCTCAGCAATTTTGGTGGCCACTAATCTAACGCTAAAAGAGATTTGGCGACTTATTTCTTTGTCGCACTGTCAGCAAATAGAATGCTTTGCCCGCTCAGGTGAACACTCCCTCCTACAACCCGGGGTTCTTTAAAAGAGGCATGAAAGTGCAGCTAGCAGGATCCCCCACGACAACTGCTGACTAGAGCCGCGGTCCGAGTCTCAGAGACGCCCTCTAGTTACCTCAGGTTCGAGTGCTCTAGAGAGGAGACTCTCCCCGAAGGGCCATTCGCCTGGAATACCTCCTCTAGAGGCACTCGCCAATTTATCGGCTCTTAATCGATTAACGGTTGTTAACTTTACCTCTCCCATACGATAATATCTACGTTCTGTACGTACACATACAAAGAGGCTAGAAAGCTAGAAACATACTATATTTGTACCCGAAGAAGGCGTATCGAGACAGCCCTATCTCGATTCATGCCATGCTGTGCGATTTTAGATTAGGGTGCAGTGTAACTTAAACTTACACGGGGAGTAAGTAGAATGTGAAAAAAGCGCAAAATAAATATGATATTTGTAAACTTTCAGAATGACAATACTTTTTTGTAAAATGTAGGTTAGTAGGTTACATTATAGGTGTGACAGTTAATTTAATATTTTATGTATCACTTACTTTTGTGTCTATTCTTGCATAGTTCTCCAAACCTAAATTTAAATTTGACAACAGTGTGTCCTTGTAATTATCTATATAGAATGAAAAGGAGAGACTGATGTTAAAGCACAATTGTACTCCAGCCATGTTTAATATGTATTTCTATATAAGTATATTTATATGGAAAGATATAATAAGCAGCTAAACTTATTAGAGAATATTTTTTTTGTACTGTTTTTAACATGCGGAAAACATTCCGTTAAAAAGGGGTTGGTAAATTTTCCGCATTAATAGGCATGTTATTCTGGATAAGCCAAGCATTTAGATTATTCATTACAATATTTATTTCACTTTCATAAGTTGACTAATCGGTACATGTAATAATAACTGTACTATCATCAGCAAATGATAGCCAAATGATAATAATAGCAAAACTGTAAGGTTAAGACAGTTGCTAATCTGTGATTACCAAAATTGGTAAAAAAAAATTGTTGTTTTTATTTTAAGCATTTAACTGCTAGATCTAAAGAAAAGTTTACTAGAAAAAAAAATCCACGCGGACCAAACAGCAGACGCGACTCGAACCCGCACCCTTCGTTATCACAGCGAATGCACTGACCATTATGCTACCGCGGCCCTGACAGCCGTGTTGAATTTTGCTCTAGCCTTAGGCTGCAATGCAGCGCCATCTCTTCGCATTGTAGGTAACCCACAATGTCAAATGAATATTTTTACAAGTATTTAACATTTGAAAGAATAAATAGCAATTATAGTTATGTGTTTAAATTTTTAAGCATTTTACTTAAATTTAAATCTAAAGAGACGTTTACTAGAAAAAAGATTTTTATCTGAACAAACGGCAGTCGTATCTTTTTGCACTAATTCTCTACCGAACCTATCAAACAAACACAGAGTCAGAGATAAGCAGCGCCAAGGTCAGAGCGACACTGACTCGAACTATACGCGTAGCTTATCATTTCTTAGTTAATACCCAAAGCGTAAACATACCTAAACGAGTTCAGTGGAGAAACAGAAAATATTCAACGTGAAATGGATAGCATATTAAATTTCACAGACAAAGTTGTCATTGTGACCGGTGCCAGTTCAGGAATCGGAGCAGAGGCTGCAAGAATTTTCGCTAAATATGGAGCCAAATTAACTTTAGTCGGAAGGAATGAGCAGCGACTAGGAGCAGTTGCTCAGGAATGCAAAGAGAAAAACGGTATGAGACCGCTTAAAATACTAGTAGATTTAGTGCATCCAGGAAGTTGCGAAACTGTGATACATAAAACTGTAGAAAAGTACGGCAAAGTTGATGTTCTCGTGAACTGCGCTGGAAGTTTTTCCTTGTCATCGGTTTTTGACGAGACGATCAATACTTTTGACGACATTATGGCTTTGAGTTTGAGAGTGCCGTTTCGTCTATCACAGCTGGCGGTCCCCTATCTGGTGAAAACGAAAGGAAACATAATCAACATGTCATTTTCAATGACGAACAAATACAGACCAGGACTATTGGTAGCCAACATGGCATCGGCTGCTATGGAAAAATTCTCGATACAAGCAGCAGCAGAATTAGCAACAGAAGGAGTTAGAGTTAATATTGTGAGCCCAGGAGTGACAAGGACAAATATGTTGTCAAGTTTGGATATCAACGATCCGATATTGACACAAGATACATATGATTTTGTGTCGAATTTTTTACCTTGTGGGCAGGTTTTGGAGCCAAAAGAAGTGGCTCTTTACATATGTGTGGTGGCCAGTGGAGCATTTAAGAACATGACTGGTGCGAATCTTGTGCTAGACGGTGCTGCGTCATTAGCTTGAAAGACATCCAATGATTAGATTGAAGTGAATTTTATACTGTGGTTTGTTTGAGTGATTGATTTGCATGATAATTAGTGCTTATAATATGCATATGTGAAAGTATAAAGCCATCTCTTTTTTATTGCTGGCATTCCACATGACTGTTCGTATTTGTAATTTGTAACTTAGCAGTCTCGCCTTTTCATTCCATATACAGTATGATAAGGACAACCTGCTGTCAAAATGATAAATAGCTTATATAGATACCATATAAAGCCTACCCTACCCCGTACAGCCCACGATTATCTAACTCAGCAACAGAAACACAACACTACCACCATAAGGAAGTGTTATTATTTCACTATGGTCTACTAAAAATAGAAGTAACTTCTTCAAACAGGCGCTCAAATCGAGGGAAAAATTAGATATGATGTGCCTACCTTCAATTGATCTATTGTATACTAACAGTTCTATCAGGAATGTCTCTTTCCTTAAATGTGCTATTCACGAAAAAATAAATCTATTTTAAGACATCACTTTTTATCGGAACGTAATTGCTAGATTCTCGTTATCATACGAGCACCAGGTGAGGTTAATATCTACTTATATACCACATTGTGATAATATAATATGAGATAGAAGTAGCTAAATAAAAAAGGATTAATCGGTAACACTTTTTAAGGAAATCTGAGCGAGCGGGTCCAACAAAATGAGCAATAATTTCAAAATAGTCTGCATCATACAGTGATTGGTTTTAAAACTTTATTTTCGCTTCGAGCGAAATTTCGATATCGTGGCAAAGCGAATGTCAGTTAATTTTCAAGCGTGAAAGAAATATCGTCTATATTTTCGTATCGCTCACTTTGCCAACGGTAATCCTATTATAGAAGGCATCGTATCAAATTATGAACTTTGCAAAAACTGAACATGAAAACACGATTTATAATGCGAAATTTAAAACTTATAATAATGATAGATTGACGTTTATTAAGATTACAAAAAATAACAAAGAGTAAAAACAACAAACAAAACTTATCCACAAAATTTTCACCTCGTGTTTTGGAGCAAAACAAGATTCTCATCAAAATGACTTATAAAAAACATGACTGTGCATAACACGTTTTTACCGCGTTTAAACGTAAATTAAAATAAACGGTGAGTGTCGCCCCGCCCCCATGACGTCACGGTAAGCTTCTTTAGGAATTAGTGTAAACACTCTATTTGTCTTCATGTTTTTGGGGTAATGATATAACCGGGCGGGTACGTAAGCCACAGTTGGAGCAGTAATCAGTAAAACATGATAAATTTTAAATCATCCATACTACTAATATTATTATGTCTGTTTATCTGTCTGTCTGTTACCTCTACAAACTTAAATAACTTAACCGATTTAGATGAAATTTGGCATAGAGGTGTTAGAGTCCCGGGAAATTTTTAATCCCAAAAATCATCTTTTATAGGGGTGAATAGGGGGAGGGGGGTACAAGTTTGTATGGCAAATCAATTTTTGACCAAGTGCCTAGTTTATGCAGATGAGTTACTGAGTTAAACTGTCTCTATTACAACTCTATGATTTATTAAAGCGCCGACGGGGTTGTCATCCGTCTTGTTTGGGTCGCTCCCCGAGTTTTTATAGGCGCATGCGTTAAACCTTGTTATTACTTGTTAGACTTAAGCTAGCGGTGATAATCTGTGTTGGTTTTAATAAACCTTTTTGCATAAGACTTCGGACGGTGTCATATTATTTATGCAAACCGTGAAAACAGTTTTTAGTAAATTTATATATTTAAATTATTCGTCCTGTCAGCTTCACATTAAGGCTATTATTTTAACTGTTTGTAAATTTGATAACAGTCTCTAATTTTCATTGCCTATAGACTTTGGATACGGAGAACATGCTGTGAAAATTCCTGGGAGAGAATGCTATTAGCATTAAGTCCGCCTTTTGTGCCATTCCCTTGTCTTTTGGTCAATAAAGTTTAAAATAAATAAAATGACGAATAGTCATGTGAAGGGCTCTAGCATTATGTAAAGCTAAATTTACCGCGATGTAATATAATATTAAGTTAAGCTTCTCACGCTAGTATTTCATGCGAGTAGAACTCAAAAACCGTGCAATAATGCCGTAAGTATACCTAAGGTTTAAACCACAAAATAAAAATCCAGTAAGTACTTCTTTGTTTTGTTTTAGTAAAAAAAACTCTGAGAGTGGATTTCACCTGAGACCTCCACAAAGCTGGGACGTGAATATTTTAAGATGCGCTTGAAACAAGCTTCCGTCATCGCTTACCTGAAACAACGTCATAAATCACCGTTAGAAACATTTCTTCATCAGTTCACTACAAACCAGAGTACATAATCAATACGCAGACAGTTTCTAAGCGTTTCTGCGTCACAAGTTTAGAGAATTTTTACAAGTATAACAATTGAATGCAGATGAAAAAATCTATGACCGTCTGTCCCTGTCTAACAGACCGCGACCCAAAAGCAACATAAATAACCCGTGAAAACTTATAACCGGGGCTACCAGATCGTACAATTTTATACAGTATCAGTATAGTCGGAGGAGCTCGATGGTGCAGGTGGTTAGCGCGTTCCACTGCGATCGTTGAAGTTAAGCAACTTTCGCAGTGGATGTGGATGGGTGACCAAAAATCTTCTATCTCTCTCTCTCTCTTAAGCCGTTGGTCCCGGCAGCATCTGCAATCGATAGCACCCGCCAATCCGCACTGGGCCCGCGTGTTGGGTCATGGCCCAATCTTCCATCCATAGGGAAGGCCTGTGCCCCAGCAGTGGGGACATTAATAGTCTGATGACGATAGTCTGACTATTTTTTAGATATATTATGTACATAGTTATATACATAATAGATCTAAAAAAATAGTCATTCAGTATAATTGGATACAAGAAATAACGACATATTTATTTCTGACAGGTAGTATTTGAATCGCTCTCCCCTCAATATAAATCAAGTTGGTAATATACCCTAATTACAAATCAATTTGACAATGTGAAACGAAGATGGTGATATGTTTCCTAACATTATTTGCACCAATATCATCATCATCATCATCATCATAAAGGTTGTCTGGAAGAGATCGCTCTAAGCGATAAGGTCGCCCATTGTTACACTAGTTTTTTAATTGGTTATGTACTAAATTTAATGTTATATGTGGTGTACAATAAAGTGTTTTGTATTGTATTGTATCATCATCAGCCTATTGATGTCCCCACTACTGGGGCAAATGCATGCTATCCTAAATTCACCTATATAGTTGATGAATAAATAATCGAATAGAAGAATAATCAAAACCAATTTTGATTTTTTATAAATACAGGTGTATACCTTGTTTTAAGGTCGACAAGAAATATATTTCGCTGTGTTCGTTCGTCCATAAATCCGCAGGTATGGACATCTAAATCACGCCGACAAAGTGATCAAATAAAATCTTGAAAAACAAAAGATATGTTTATTTTATGCTGGAAGGTGTTCGAATTTATAATTGCAGACACAAGACAGTATAATAAAGATTAATATACTGCCAGCTCTGAACAGAACAATGTCGTTACTCCGTCCTACTAGCGACAGAAAAGTCGTAAACTATAGTTCCTTTCTGTTAATTGAATGAAAATAATATTGCTAAAATAAATAAGGGCAACAACTGTTCAAATAAGTAAAGCGCAGAAAATTGCTTCTTAAACGCGATAATGAAGTCGATACCACTCAACGATAAGATTAACAAACAACCAAACTAGAAAAAAAGATTAGTTAAAATTATTTTCGTCAATGTTACATTTATAGCCCGCTGCGAACTTTGATTTAGGTAATATCCAGTTATTTAAATTGTAATGAATTTAATTATGTTGGACGTCTTATGAATATTCCAGTAGATATGTAAATAAGTCTGCTTGTTTAAATAAAGGAAAGCGCTTGACGTCGTTGGCTCTCTTTCTTTCGCATAGAACCATCATATCTTAGAGTGAGAGAGACTTTGCCGTTTTGTCGTCAGCTTATTCATACCTTTTAGTGATTGAAATTGAATTCGGGTTCTTTGTCTTCCTCATTGCTCATTCTTTAGGTTGTACTCAAAGACACCAATTTTTAATTGGTCATTGGACATCTAAATTAACATTTAAATAACATCTAAACAACAACAATGTAAACTTATATAAAATGATCATATCATTAACGAGACATTTGTAATAACTAGACGAATGTTGACAAGCATTCCGGATCAGTTAATTTGGCAGCAATAAAATATCACTGATAAATAGAACTCGCATTGTTCACCGCTTGGCAACGGCCATTTTGACATTTGACTTTAATTAACCACCATTATTTGTCTCTTTCACTGGATTGAACTAAAGCGAAAACAAAACAGAAAACTTTAGCAGCGAATAAAAGTCTATCAATTAACAGCCAAATTGATATAGGATATGATGGGAATGCAGAAACAATAAGACACCATCCTCACCGGGCCAGTGCGGGCTCGTTTCTGTACACACTCGGTACAGATTTTTTTACAGTGTGCATGTAGTAAAATGAGAGCTTTTTCATTGAGTTGTTTCGGTACCGATTCTTTCCCGAGCGGATCCACAGCTCTCTGTATCGAGTCCTAACAAGTGCGCACCGAACTATTTGACTCACCCGTCCTGCGACTTCCGCAAACAAAACGAAACGATGTCGCACCGAAACCTAGCCGGTCAAGAATTGGTTCTCGGTAAAGAATCTGTACAGACATCGGTACAGAAACAAAAACAAAAAGGAAGGCGCCTTAAAAAGGTGCCAAGAAAGAAAGTTGGCATCGATGACCATCATGAAAATAGAACTGAAGTAGACAATAGTTCTCTAGCATTCTAACAATAAGCGCTGAAGTCTGACATGTGTTACAAGGCGTAACGAGTGATAGGAAAGCAGCACAGCCGATGGTCGCTCGTGATTAATTTATGCGGAGTAATAAACGTTCGAATCGGCCGAGTCAATTGTGCTTTATAGAGAACGCTTTGATGTTCTATGAATAAATCTTTCAAAAAGCGTAGATACTAAATGACTGGCTCGAAATCGTTTCGTCTCTTATTGATAACGGTAGCATTCGTTTCTTAGTAATATTAAGTTGTAGATTCCTTCATTCCTAGAAAGTACTGTAACGCCCGTAGAGTTACGGCCTCCTTGCTAGTATAAACTCTTTGCTTATGTTATGTCTGGCAGTAGTATTAAAAGTAAATGTCATTATTTTAAAGATTCAAATATGAGTGCATTCTGTCTCATATCGAATATTCTAGAGAGTTGATTATAATTAATTGTATTTTACTAAATTCAAATAAATCCCGTTAAAGATAATACGCAGTCTCATTTTAGTATCTCCTGCTACGTTCCCCAAGTTCTGCCTTCGGGAAGTACCCTTTAGTAAAAATGGCGTATTAATACCCCCAATCAGCAATTCCGCCGTGACGGAAAAATCTTACATTTTTTTCGCCTAGCCCCCATCCGCCGAAGCGACTGAAAAGGAACTGCGTTTCAAAAAATATGTACCGCCGACGAATAACTCTAACCGAATGTAAAATTATACGAAAACGTTACGTTATCATCACGCAATAATTAATCACAGTCTGCAATTTTAGAATCGCACAGTCGTACGACAAACATTCCCGCATCCCGTCACAGTCGCGTAAAGCATTAATTACCGGTACATTAAGGGCCATTACTCAACACGCGTGCCGTTTGCGATATCGCACAGGTTCGGTGAATGACTAGCTAGAATATTAAGATTTGCATTTCTACTGTATAATTAATATACAAAATATTTAAACTTACTACACCTTATTACGGGTGACAAAATACTTAAGCGTGATAATGAATAAACAATTCTTTCCAATACTTGGGGGCCATTCGCCTAACGGGATTCCTAGGGCTATCGCTATCGCTTACGATTTTATTTTATTATTTCTGACCGCCGAAAGTTTTCAAATGCCCCGCACTCGTTTTTTTCTTTTGTATTGGTAATAACAATATTAAAGACAATGAGCGTAATGTATTTGAGAACCTTCGGCGGTCAGAAATAACAAAATGAAACCATAAGGGATAGCGATACCCATAGCAGTTCCGTTAGGCGATTGACCCCCAGTTTCAGAAATTCATATGCATTGTTATAAATTTGGAGCTCGATGGCCAGATGGTCAGCGCCTTCCTCTGCGATCGTTGAAGCTAAGCAACTTTCGCAGTGGTCGGTCATCGGATGGGTGAGCAAAAATCTTCTATCTTGAATACCTCCGTGCTTCGGAAGGCTCGTTAAGCCCTTGGTGCCGGCTGCATCTGCAGTCGTTAGAACCCGCCAATCCGCACTGGGCCCGCGTGGTGGGTCATGGCCAATCTCCCTTTTCCATCCATAGGGAAGGCCTGTGCCCCAGCAGTGGGGACATTATTAGGCTGATGATGATGAAAATTAGTAATAATATCATACATTCAACGAGATATTCATGTCAAATTATAATAATGTTCATACATACCGTAAAAACTATTAATTTCCCAGATAATATCAGAATGCAATAATAATTTAATTTCCGCTCAGGACGGCATGACGGCACGTCCGGTACGGCCGCATATCAGCGCGCGACTAACAGACATTCGGAGGCGGAAATTTAAAATTTTTACACCCACTACTCTATGTGTGGGTAGCAGCTATGTATCTTGGCTAAAATTTCCTTAGGGAGTAACTACGGCCAAACTAGGTTTGTAATAATAAATATATAATAATGTGAAATAAATCTTTTTTTAAACAAACAGTTTTCTTTATAAAAATCGTCTAAAATAAGTTTAAAACACTATTTAGGTAAATGCTCATTAGTACTAATAAACCTTTTATAAAATTCTCTATTCATAAACGTTCAATAAACCCTTTATGTTTCTAAGCTATGTTCTCATTATAAGACACTTTTGCGTTGTTTGTTGTCATTCTGATGAATCCATAGATCAAAATGGCAAAACCACTGGTATCCACGGCAAATTGACAACGTCACTTATGATATTTGTTTGTCAATATTGCTTGTTTCGTGCAGAGTGTGTGAGTTTTTCGTGTTATTTTTGCGAAGAAAATTGGACTCTTGCATTTTTATGTAAGTATCAGAGTGGCGAGCAATCGCGCGGGCTACTCTGGCACAAATACGACTCACAGTTGGTTGAGACATACTATGGATTTTTCCCCCATCACCTTGAATCTAAAATATTACAAAGATATTTAAAAAGTACATAGGTATATTAAAATGCGGGATAAATTAAATACTCGTAAACGTGCTTACTTCACGACGACCCCAACATCTTATAGCGGTTAACATCTGCAACTCTGGTGACGTTCCTCAACCTCTGGAGTCCAGTTGCAAGACTTGCCTGACGAGATCAATTATAAGGACCATAGTATTTTTGTTGAAACGGTATCGTCGTTTGAACCCTACTGGTATCTGGTAAAGAAAACGGATCACATCTCTCCTAGTAAATCTTTCGACGACGTGAAAAAAACCTTTTCTGCTCGTTCAATAGCATATAATGCTTGCAGAGCTTACATAGCTAACGATATCACCAAAAAAATTTATAAAAATTATCTCTTCTTCACAGCTCCTTGTAAATAACCACACGAACGAACGAACGACGACAACAAACTTTAACAAACAAATCTCAAAACAAAAGGTTCGGACGCAAATAAAAATCAGCTGTTGCACATTTGTCGGCCATATTTCTGTCTATTAAAGGTTTATAGTAGGGTCGACCCTGTTATAAGTTACGAAGCCGCTATTGAATACTTACAAAGCTTTTTAGCGTTATTTGACGTTTATTAATAATGCTTTTCGGGGTTCTCATTATAACAAGCTAATAAACCTTTTTTATCATTTTATTAATAAGACAGTTATAATTTTTAAGCATGTAACTGCTTGATGTTTAAATCTAAAGAAAATATAACTAGAAAAAAATCCACGCCGACCAGGCAGCAGACGGGACTCGAATCCGCACCCTTCGCAATCCGGGCGAATGCACTAACCAATTATGCTACCGCGGCCCTCACGGACCGCGTCGAAATTCTTCTAGCCATTCTTAAGCTGCAAGGCAGCTATTATTTAAAAGTTTAATGTTGAATAAATATGATGATAAATTGTGTAGCGTACCTGGATAAAACATTAATTTATCATTCGTGTTAATTTTGAAATTGCTGCGATGAATTTTTTTTGGCTAAGTAATAATTTATTCGGCAGATAAGTTTTATTCGAGAACTGATTGGCACTTAACCTCATTAAATATAAAATGTGTAGGAGATTATCGTTAATTAGCTTCCTAAACCAGCAACAATAAAATGTGCAAACTTATGTTTAAGATAATAAGGTTCAGTTTGGTTCTACCAAATTTCCTTTTGCTCACTATAACACTGGTATTCTTGCAGCCGGGCATCCGCATTATTTATTTAATCTTTGGCTCAATTCCCCAACGAAATTATTGTAGCTGAAAAACGGACGCTCAAGATTCATGGGCCGATGAAATATTGCTGCGAGAGTGATAGCTCAGGGAGTGAGTTGTTTCAGATGTTTGATCTATTAGACTTCTTAACAGACTTAAAAGAAAAACAGAAATTTATCATTCTTTTCAGCCGTTAGTTTATTAGAAATATTTACCATTTGATCTGGCTGTCAATAGTTGAGGAGCTGGCGATGAAAACAGTATAATTACATAAGATTAAATTCTACAGGAGCTGTATAAAACTAAATGACATACCTGCAGTGAACTTTTGGCATGGTTTTTAATTCATAAATTTAGTTATTATAACACACGATTGAAAATTATTTAAGATTCAAATTCAACGGACCCAAAACCTACGGACTGTAAAAAAAAGTAGTTTGAACAGATGCGTAATTATACCGTTTTGTTCGCCAGCCCCTCAGTTTTGATTTTTGACATAGATATTGTTACAAGAACACAAAATTAAAAATTACAAAAATCTGTATACTCTTTTGTAATTGTTATTTATATGTATTTAATGTTTGAGTAACAAGGACTGGGTCAAAAATCGATACCTTTGAACCGCTATTGAGACACGATTGTAACGTTAGTGTAGCAGCATCGACACTCCGGTCGGGACATTTAGGATTATGGAGCCTTGTCTTAAAAATTCCAAGAAAATATTTGTTTTGTTTCAAAAAAGATCAAAATGGTTAAGTAATATTAAGGTTAAAGAAAATGTAACTAGAAAAAATTCCACGCGGACCGGGCAGCAGACGGGTCACTAATTTTTTCTAGTTATAATTTCTTTAGATTTAAACATCAAGCAGTTACATGATTAAAAAAAACGACGGGTTGCACTCCGGGAGTGCCGGCAGAAGTGAAAACTTGAATATTAACGTTGTGCATTTTTGATATTTTGGAATGGTTAGGGAATAATTTTAAACTAATTGCTTTAATTTATCAGTATAAAAGTACTATCATTTATGTGGTAGAATACAATATTTATTTATTGTGCTTTCGTACACAAACATGACAATTTATATTACATTACAAAAGTTTATCTCGCAGAAAAATCAACTTACATGAATCACGTTTAAGCGCACTTAGCGACATCTATTGTAAAAAAATGCATTTTCTTCACAACAAAGTTGCCTGGACTTCCTAGATAGAGACTGATTATTATAATACGATAAAATAAAATATAACTATGTTTCGTCCAATATATTGAAAGTCGACAACCTTTCCAATTTTATTGTTTTTGTCAGATCCCTAATCAGGCCACGTGTCATGAAGCGATCAGTCCACGTGTCCTGAAGAGAGTTTAACATTTTTTAACCATACAAAAAAAGTGTAAAACGCCGGTACAGAAGTTTTCACTTCAAAAAATTATAATATTAAGGTTCTTTTTATTTACCTCTTGATACTCGTAGATCAGCAATTAATTTCTAGGCAAGAAGCTTTAAGAAATGAGCATGATCAAATTCCTAATATTTGGTTACAAATACAAGGTACATATTTAGAATTTTATTGTACTCATTCATATATTCTGCATTCATATTTTACAAATATATAACTTCCATGTATTTAATACACAGACCAAATAATGTACATGCTACAACAATATGACAATAAAAAAAGGAAAAGAAAGCAATATTTTTTTATTGAACCGAACGTTCAAGCAACTTAATTTTGTAAGAAGGAAAATTGACAAATATATTTATATTCTGATCTTTTCTGCGAACCTCATTGTATTTTTTCCTTATTGATTTATACAGAATTAAATCATTCTGGCTGGTAATGTTACACATCATTGTACTTTGAGAGTTAGTTAATGATCAACAATATTTAGACGACTTTTATTCAAGTTTCCACTTTTATTAATATGAGCCGCAACAAATTACTACTCCTGATTTTATGTGTAAGCGGAGTCCAGTTGCGAAAATAGATGAGTCAGTAAGGCACATCGCCTTATTACACAGAAAAAAAGTTATTTACGAAACTAGTCGAGTTAACCGATGAATAGGCAAACTTTGTTTACAAATAAATACATTTCAGTCACTCATAGACCAAGTGTTCTGTTGCATTTCACATTATCATTTCAGTTAATCGAGTTTAGTTAAAAACTAATAAACCATTTTGTCTGTCAAATTCGATTTCGATAATCTGTAACATAACAATGTATTGTTGTAATCAAACACACTACAGGTGATTATTTACATAGAGTTGGTCTAGCTACTACAATTATTAGCCAAAAAGTTCAGTTACAGATTTCAAGTACGTGCTTTGTTAAATGTTCGGTACATCCGCTGAATCGCGCTATAGACATTGTTTTGTGCATATATATAAGTTTATAAAATATGTACTTATAAATAAATTGGGAACCAGGGTAATAAGATTACACCAATCCACTGTTATCCCCCAATACTTACTTGTTAGTAAGTAGTACGTACAGGGTTTTAAAGCACAAAAGCACTTTTGCAAAAAAGATTAAAATTATAATAAACAGCTATAATTCATCAAAATATTATTTTGCAGATAACAAAATAGTTTGGTTACAAATAATAGTATAGTGAATCTATACCGAAGCAATAATTTTGAAACCAATTACTGAACAAGTGTAAGAATTAAAAACAATTTTGTAAATTTTACATACTTGTTTTGTTATAACAACAAAATTATTTTAACAAAACCGAGTTTGTCTACTAGTTACTACTAGCAAACCAGTGAACCAAATGTTCACCAAAAACTGATTTAAAAAAAAAAAAAGAAAATGTATTTAATTAATTGAGAACTTCGGAGATTTTGTGTGGTTTCGTTTGAACCGGAAGTGCTACGTTACTCAAATCCGGTTTGTAGTCTTATCAGACTATTCTTAACTTATAATTTAAATATTCTCTTTATCTATCTCTTACGGTTTGGCCGCTGAAACAGCACCACAGACGGACGGACGGACTTGTCTAATAGATAATAATTATGTATTTTTATGTAAAAGGTAACATTTTTTTTGTTATAAGTAGCTTAAAACTTTTTTCAGTGTACCCGCCTGAGTTAGTTCTAAGTATTAATATTGTTCATCTAGTTAAAATGAGTGCTAAATCCAGCTAAATCAGACTATTGCTCTACCACCAATGACTAGTAGTAAACAAGGATCAAGAAGAGCGATAAACACCATGATATACAATCACGGTTCGATGGATCTGTTCTCATTCCGAGATTGAAGTAGACTATAATAAGATCCAAATGTTTATTAACATACCTCGCTGCGTTTGTATTGGTAACGTTATATTAAATGTTAAATGATGTTGGTTCCGATTGGTTATTCGAATGCGTAAATCAGTTATGTGTGACGTGAAGTAGTGGTTGGTTAAGTTTATCACCAGGCTATTAAACTTCTATAAGATGCTTATCTTATAGAAATTTAATATTATTTAATAAAACAAGAGGTATTTTTAAATAATTACATGTAAATGTTTTATTCAGATATGATATTAATAAACCTATTCTAAAATTTCTTAGTTATGATTTAAAAACCACCTGTGTGTTACTTGAGTTTACTCGCTTTTGCATCAAATCTTAAAACTGCTAACGTGATATCTGTCATTACCTAATTGGTTAACACGTGATAACTGTAATTTACAATTAATATAACATGAATGCGAATATAATTTATTTAAATCAGAATCTTATCTAGCGACTGAAAATCAAATGCGAGTAATTCATTGAGAAAAGCCAAAGCAACGAAAAACTAACACGCATTAAATATTGTTAACAGAGCAATACAAATCTAAATTTTGACGGAATAAATTGTAAGACGTTTAACAAATACCTCTAATAACAGTACCGACGATCGTACAACAAATTTCACAACTGGTCAACAAGCATTACTTGAACTCGCCGGTCATAAGGAGGAATAAAACAAAATGTATGGAATTATCAGAATAAATTGGCCGTGCCCGTGGATCAAGTGAAACTGGTCAGCAATATCTGGCTACGTTCCAGCTAAACGTGAGTTTAATATTGTGGAGCTGCGTTTAGGATATTGGATCGTATGTAGATGTTATAAAGTGAAATATCTATGAGCAGTCGATCAGGGTAAACTTATTGGTGTTTGATAGCTTTTGCGATGTACACTCGACACACCGAGACGTGATGGAAACGATATGAAGACAGCAGAGTCGATAGTAGACGGTATTTAAGAAACATTTTAGTAAGCACATAAATTCTTCAAGAACGATTTACACGATGAAAATATTTGAATTCCATGATGAGATGATTAATAATCCTAGATTAATGGTCTTATATCTGGTGTAGATATCAGGTAATTTCATTTGATGAAATCAAATTTAATTACCTGATCGTAGAAAGAAAGTATTTTAACCTTACAAAACTTTTTCTATTCACGAAAAGTAATATGTACACAAAAAGTGGAACGGTATACAAAACTGCCTCTAAAATTTGCAAACAAAACATCAACAATTTATAACAGATCGTCCAGATGCGTTTGACTGTGAAAAATATCGTGCAATACGCGATAACGTATACAGAATTTAGAATACATAAAAAATGTCAATACAAATTTGTGTTCATACTGTAAATCATACAAAGCGAGAAATATTCCTTTTATCAATGGAAACAGAGAAGTGTTTTTCCTGACCCTATTGTGAAAGATCATGGTCAATGGGGAAGAAGAGAATACATTTTTTAATTTCCCGTCAATATCTAATGCTGTAACCAATAAGAGTAGTATAAAGTAAACAAAGAGACACCAAGAGTCCCGTTTTAAATTTTATATGACCACATGAAATCGACAGTATCGCTAAGTCAGGAAGGACCAAAGGCATTTAGTATTGTAAATAATAGACCCAATTAATTACACAAACGCCTCTTACCTACGTAACTGTAATTGTCGACCCTTCCAGATCGTAACACCGACACGTTTAACCAGAACTTTGTTCAACTGGAGGCAGTAAAATTTAATCCAGATGTCGCTAATTCGAAACTAGTATTCCATTTTAGTGGTAAAGTTATGGATAACGTTTGTGTTTGTAATAATTATGAGAACGGTTCAATTTGTAATGGTGAACTGTTTTATTATTTTCAGTTTTACTACTACATCGTATTGAAATTCAGTTAGACAAAAGAATGTGTCAATTCTTATTACCTTAATAACTATGATGAAAATTAATTTCTTAAAATAATTGCAGCGTTGTAAACGTTTCAGTGAAAGCGACACAAAATCACAAGTGAATTTTAATCAGGAATCAGGGGCGCCGAAGATACTATCCATAGCATTCTTACAATAAATAGGGTTACTAAAGCACAATGCGTATAGAAGGGTTCTCTTATAAATTTTATTTACCACACTTTTACTCTACTCTTAAATGATTCTGCTTTTTCTTAGAGCCAACTATTCGAAATCTCACCTACAATACTCTTGTACACTAAGCTAGATAATGAGAGCTTTCTGAACACAATTCGCTTATTGAGAGCATTTATCGTGCTTACCACCACATTCACCCGCAGACACGACAATAAAGATCGCACGGCATCAGACCGTATCGATTAATGGTTATTTCCGACTGGTGAATGCACGCCACGATGCGGAATCGTAGAACGTGAAACTAGGGGAATATTACATAATGCTACGTGTCAAATGATGGAGCATTGGTAATTATAAAATCTACATGGATAATTCGACAGCTCGCTACATCTGTACTTCGGTTAAGGCTTAAGATTTTCTTTTTTAACCAAAACCTTAACAAACAAATGAGCATTTTTTTTCTGGATATCTTGTATTTATGCTAAATGTGTACATTTTCAACATACCTAAACGTTAACCACGATTATTCATAATTATATTTTTAAACGCCTAATTTTACTAAATTACCTTTTTATATTGACGGTTGATTTTTTATATTATTACTCTTATTCGGAAAAAGAAAAATGATGAATTGAAAGTTCAACATAATTATCTGTGTGAGAGGTAAAAGATTTTAGCACACCATTTATTTGATAAAGCTTTCAAGAAAAGTTTTAAACAAGATTAAATACCTCACAAAGTTCGTTGTCAATATACTGGTTTTATTGACTTCATAAGACATTTAAGAGAGACCGATTTAACGAGTTATCCACTTATGTGGATTCACAAACAATGACATTTAACTTACCTAATGAAAAGGTAAACAATAAGTCAATTTCTAGGCGCCTTTGATTCGAAAAAGTAATAGTAACAACAAAATTAAATGGACATTAACTTTATTACTACCAATTTCATGACGCACACCTTATCAACGATTATTTAGTACTTACATAAACAGATATCTTTATTACTTAGGATAACATAAACATTTTCGATATCAATAACTCCAGTGCATTTACAATAACATAGTAAGTACAGTTCAAAATTTGAAGTTAGCACATCCATCAAGGAAAATATTAGCTCCATTAATATTCGGACAAACGCTGCTTGCTACAAATGCTATCATTTTCGCTACCTCATCCGGCCGCATCACATCGACGTTATAATTCCTTTTTATCATTTGATGCACTTGTTTTTTGTCTTCGTTAGAATTGATATTATTAAGCACTGGAGTGTTTGTTAAAGCAATGCACACAGCGTTGATTCTTACACCAGTCGAAGCTACGTCAAATGCGGCTGCTTGTGTGAACTTTTCAAGAGCTGTATCTATAATTGAGAAACTTAAAAATCCATGCCTAGCTAACTTCTGAGCACTTCTCAAGTTCACCACATTGCCTTTGGTTTTGATTAAGTGTGGTATCGAAAGATGTGTTAGCTTGAATGGTACTTTGAGATTACTTTGGAATAATTCGTCCATACAGTCTATGTTTTCATCTAAAAGTGAATCAAGTTCAATTTTTCCAGCACAATTTATAAGAACATCGAGTCTTCCAAACGTAGCAACCGTTCTACTAACCACTTCTTCACAGCTTCCTTCTTCAGTTAGATCTACTTTCACAATGAGTGGTATAATTCCTCTAGCGGCTGCACAGGAGTCCGCTACTTGTCTCAACCTCTCTTCATCTCTACCAACTAAGGATAAGATTGCGTTCTGTGATGCTAAATGTTTGGCTGTTGTAGCTCCTATTTCTGAACTCGCTCCCGTGATTATAACAACTTTACTAGTAAAATCCATAACGTGTTCTCCGTTATAGAATTGTTTTCGTACTGCTACGTATTACGAGTTTTTAAGATAATAGGGTTATTATCAGACTTAACAACCTTATCAAGGATGATTCTTTTATACATTATCTAATAACAAAAATGTTATCACAATATAAACATTTCGATAACGCTGTAGTGGGGTCAAGAAAATACGTTTTATACATATTTTTTATTATTACCCAAGGGCAGTGAATTGCAATATATAAATAGTTACTCCATAACGATTATAAGTCTCAAAGTAATATTTAGAGAATGGTGTTACAAAATTGTTTTAAATAACTTTTAGGGTATCGCGATCATCGCAAATTTCAGAATACTATCATTATAACGGAAGCTTTATACGCAGAGTCTATTATTATTAACCGTTTAAGAAGAAGGCACCGTAATTCAACAACTTAAGGTTGATTTTAAATCTGAAATACGGAAGCTTATCTCCTCCACTCCATTAGGGGATTGGACGACACTTTTGTTTGCAGCGCAACATACGCTGCGATGGTTGCAACATATTGTACTGTGGACCAAGTGCACAAGAGAAAAGGAATAATATTTGATCTGTGTAAATAGTAAATCAATGTCAATGATAGTTTCCGAAACCATTTTATGGGTTGATAATATGTGAGTGATTCCCGATGCTTCCATGTTGAAGGAGCGACATTTTGTAGGTAATGATGATGATGGTGCACATTGTAGATTTTTTTTATTTCAGTGTGCTAAGAAATAGCGCGGGTTTCCCACTAGAACGGAGCCACCGCCTGAGTAATTTACCTTCTTACACAAAATTACAGTGAAATAACACTACTTATTGTTGGTGTTATGTGTCTTGATAAGTAAGGTTATATTAGGGCTCCGCAGAGTAAAGGATTAAATTTAGGCTGGAGCGCTACAGTTTTCTATCGCACCAGCAATATTTACAAGTGGAGTAGACTCACCCCATGAAATGTGGCTGTATATAACAATCTACACTTTACGATTAAAGATAAATTACAGTTGTGGAAATATTGATAGATTCACACCCATTCAATAAAGCCACCATTTGATCACATTTTATTGTAGTGCTTATACTAATTAAATAATTCACTCTTAACTTATTAAAGAAATCAGCTGAATCAAAAATACAACGCTGCCGCTTGTGTCTTAAAGTCGTTCATCAAAGGGGAGGAAACTAAAAATAGAAAAACAATGTGAGCCGATTAATATCATTCCGCTTTAATATTGATGAGTACCATTTACTTAATTGCGCTTCTGTTTGCAATGGTCGCATTGACAATATATTTATACGAGATAAACGGAAAATTTTCGACGTGAGGCCTTGAGGCAAGGCCCTTGACTAATTATTCATCATTACCAACGAATATGCTGGTAAACCATAAGTAACTAATATTTTTGGAAGCGGTTCCATTACGTTTTTTTTTTATCTGTAATGATAATCGTTAAAAAAGATAAACAAAGGTTAAAACATAAATACTGACAGAAAAGACTAAGACTAGGAGCTAGTAAGTAAAATTTGTGTTATCTACTAATAATAAGAACGAAAATAGAAGGATTTAGTGCCAACTAACCGGAACACTAAGGTAATGACTAAACGGTCGAAGTCATTGATGTTAATAGAAAATAAACAATCAATAGAGCGAATTAAGATATAAATTAACTGTTACTACTTAAATTAAAAGAAATTATTGTCAAAAAATTATATCACGTAAAATTACGTTACGGCTGGGCCACAGCACTGTATGAATAGAAATTAAAGAAATAAAAAAAAAACAATAGACACAGAGAGATAATAAAAAAAACAAATATACATTACATTGTTTTGCCAAAAATAAACAACAAGCCCAAAAAATTAAGTGTGCAAATTCGCTGATTTCCAATAAAAGCGGGCCAAACGTACCGCCTGGAGGGTACACCTACGATTTTCCATCCAATTTCGACGCAATCAACGAACCTTTGTCCAATCGCGATACTTACCTGAAACAAAGAGAATTAATTATTCCAATGGGCAAAGAAAATGATACAAAAGAAAAGGAAATTGAGTGCGACGAAGTATGTTTCTTTATTTTTGACTGAATAGTCGAGATGAACGTAACAAATTCAAGCGGCAGTTTAAATATAATAGTCGAAGGTGTGATAAAGAAATATTTTTAGCACAAATGCTCTTTTATTGAAAAGTTAATATAAATTACTGAAGTATCAGCATCAATTTTGCCGTCTAATTAGTTGAGAATAATTTTTAAATCTGAAGAATCTTACCTGAGCAACGTTACATTTTAACCGGTATAAATCTTCCGACGAGATAATTTCAGGTAGAGAATATTAATTGTCTCTTCTATGTAATTATGTAGGATTTGGAAACGGTAATAAAACTAACAATTCACTCGGGACAGGGAATCATTTCCGAGGTAAAGTCCGTGAAACATAGTCAGAGCTTCAGGGCGCCTACCGCCTATTGCAGGCTTGCTTTGGCCATTGCTGTAACTTGTATTTCATTTTGTTATTTCTGACCGCCGAACGTTTTTAAGTGCCTCGTGCTCTTTATGCACTGGCAATTACCATATTAAAAAAACGAGTCAAAACGAGAGAAAATTTTCGGCGGTCAGAAATAACTTAATGAAATCGTAAGCTATAGCAATAGCCAAAGCAATCCCGATAGCAGATATGCCTCCTGATTAATCAATTAACAAAGCAAGGATACAATTTATTTTCATTTATTAACAGCCTTAAAAAAGGATGGTCTCAGTTTGTTCATCGATTCATTTAAAATCTTTTATCAAGTACAACTGTAAATAAGTAATCGCATAGAAGCTCTGTTCTGAAAATGTAGAATATTAATTTTGCTGAAGTCTATTTTTATTTTTGTCCTATATACAAGAAAAATCTTGCAACGTCCTGGTCAGTGATTTGTCATAGCAGAATTTTTACGAGACCTATTGTCGCTGCCCGATAAATACGCTTCTATCTTGCTATTTCAGCGCAGCTTAATGTCATAGCAGGTGGACTCAGGGCTGACGACGAGAACAGATGTTAAAAGAAAGTAATAAAAATAATATGAAAACATTTCCAACACTCCCAGCACTTAGCCTAGCCTTTGGGGCTGTAAGCACTGAAAGGCTTGTGTTATGGAATACTAGGGTAACGGATAGATTACATACACTGATACATTTATAAGTTTATTTTATAGAAAAATACATTCATGACTTGGGTACAAATGCTCGTATTCATCATACTACCACACGAGTAGACGACACCTTGAAACCTAGCATACATACAACTCTATCACCACGGAGATCGTCAATAAAAATTGCTTCTAATAAGCGTTAATGTCCATTCATATGTTTGTTATAATTATTAAACAAGTGGATTTAAAGCATGTAGTATATGCAATCACTTTACTTCTACGCTGCTAACAGTTGCCATTGCCACTATATCAAATCGAAGCACCCAGGTATTTCTCAGGTGACTTTGGTACTAAATCCGCTAAAATTAGCATTCGAAATTTTAATAAGTTCTGTCTTTATGAATTATCGGGCTGCGTGTCTATAGACGCTAGACGATAGTTGGACTGGCGATAATTTGACACGCTAAAAGAGGGTGACTTTATTTGTAGGTGCAGCCGAAAGGTGCATACGTGCGTTTAAAGTTCCAACGCATAAATTTAGCGCATGTTAGTGCTAATACTTCGCCATGCAGGTGTGGGATAAGCATTATATGTATTAAACAACATAAAAGCCAAAAAGCAATAAAATCTTTTGATTAATGTTTAGCAAATTTCACCGTATATAAAATCAAAGTGAAACACTCGAGTGACAACCCTGAGCAAGCGAGCGCAAGGAGAGGGCTATAATTTTTCATTTGCAACCTGCGAGTCGAGATAAGGCACAGACTTATGATGTCTTGAAAGGGAATGTAAACGACTTATGACACGGTCGCTCTGAATAGTGTGTACGTACACTATTCTTCGGGCTATAATAATGGTACCAAGTACCAACCAACATCGTGTCACCGCACCGTATACTCAACATAGTATCTTATGAATAATAAAACGAAAATAATTCAGTATTCGGGGTAAAGGCGTTTAAAATTATTGCGGTTTCTCAGAGACGATCGATTGTTTAATCTAGTTCAGTCATTAACCTCCTGTAGCTCGATGGCGCAAGTGTTCAGCGCGTTCGGCTGACCAATCCGCACTGGGCCAGCGTGGTGGGTCTTCATGACTCAATCGCCCTATTCCATCCACGGGTTATAGGCTGATAGTGATGATTAATTGACCCATAATAAAACGAGGGATAAGCTTGGCTTAGTTACTCTTTGTTATACTTAAGTGATATGATCAAAGCACGGCGTAACTAGTCTCAGCTTATTCCTCCATTATTAATAAGGGCAGGGGGGACATAACAAGGTAAATAAACATGTCTTGTGATTCATACAAAATTTTAAATTTACATACTATGTACGAGACAAACGAAATAACAAGGACGAATCCATCAATCAATCAATCCATCATTGGCACTTACCGCATTTCTTCAGCAAAGGATTCTTGGAGTTTTATTTTGATACAGTCCACGAGTATCAACAATCCCGATTCTCCAATAAGCAAGTGCGGGTCGGTAACTTCTCGCTACTGCGACAACCCGGCGTGCCGCACATACTATTTACTAAGTTTTCGATGCCCTTTCGACAGTTTGAAGAACTCATGAACCGTTACAGGTTATAACATAGTTAATGAATTTTTATCACTTTTGTCGCTATAAAACTAAATAATGAAAATTAAGATTTCGTATCTTTTCAACGTTCTCAATAAATTAATACATTTATTAAAGCTCAAGCTGAGTAAAATATAAAAAGATACTGAAATATGACAAATCACTGTTAGTTTATTTTTATTTGAAATATAAAACTGTTACAATTTTCAAAGTCCTTCTCAAACTCTCATATTTCACGATAGTAGACAGTGCACTGAATCCAAATAGCAAACTGCCCTTGAATCGGATGCAAATA